ATTTTCTTTTAAAAGAAAATTATTTTTTCCTAATTTTTTGTTGTCATATTATGTTTTAGTGTGTAATACACATAAAAATCCAAAAAAGAATTTTCTAAATTTAAAATTTCAGAAATTTGCCTCCGAAGGTATTCGGGTACCTTAATTATAATTGGAAATAATCAAAATATTCGATTACAACTAAAGACGATTGTATACTATATGTATTATTATATTATTCAGTACAAATAGTATGTATTGTGTAATGATACATTTTATGCATATTTGCATACAACGTATGTACGTGTAGTAAAATAAAATGTAGTAACATAAAATGTACGTATGACTGTAACTAAATTAGCTGAAAACCCATTGTTCGTACCTGAGTTGGGTGTTTATTAAAGTAATTGATTAGAACTTTAATTGACTACAGATAATTACTGCTATCTATATATATATTTCTCTTACACGGCGATAAAAAAAAGCCTCATTACAACTCCCCGAATGGCAACGCTAGAAAATAGACCAATGAGTGATGCTAAAAATGTCACATGCCAAATCTGGCTAAGATGGCTCAACATATAGCGCTTTTAAAAACGGAAACTGAAATAACCAGGGAGAGCATAAGCTAGGCAGAAGTCTTTGTCGATAGATCTCTATTTTAGTTTTTTGTCGAAAACGTTTTTTTTTTTTCACGAATTTATGTATTACGAATTTATTTGACAGTTTTTTATTTATATCACGAATTTATTTTTAGCGAGCAGGGGGCGCAGCCCACTAGTGTACAATAATTTGCCACGTAACATTATTAGGTACTATGGAGAAAAAAAAATCTGTTAAAAATATCGTTCTGTATGGTAATGACATTTCTGGCAAAAAAAAAATCATGAATAATAAAATTCAAATATAGAGCGTTTGAACTGTTTATTTTGTCCTTTTTCCATTTATTTTGTATTACACGAAACTTAAGTTCTTATTGCCACACATTTAGTAAAAATTTAAAATTGAAAAACAAACGTAACCAAGAAAATTTCTTTCATGCCCTGCTTTTAGATATTTTGATAGAATTCCCAAATTTTAAAGAATTGACTGAATGTTATCACATATTATAAAAGGATATTTTATTGTTAATTTTACCAAAATAATTACTAAAGTGCTTCATTGAAAATTGTCGTGCTTTCTTATGTTTTCAGAGTCAGAAATACAGTTGTAATGAATAGTAAAATACCTCCGAATTTCATAACATATTTTTTAATATAATTATTCCTTTAATTATATTCTCTTTAATTTGAATATCTATTAGCAATTGTTGAATTTCTAATATTATTATGAACCTAAATTATTATTTTGCTTCAATAATTAACATTTAAGGTTGTTGTTTCTTAAGGATTTAGCATAAACAAGTTGCTATTAACGGCATATTTTAAAATCAGAATTCTAAATGTAACCCAACTTTACAATTTCTTGTTATCTAACAATATGTAGTTAAAGTGTCGATAAATGCTTTAATTTTTTTGATAATAAAAGTTAAATCTAAAAATTTTAAAATAACGTATTTATAGTGTCATTTACGACAACTATTAAAAAAATATTTCTATTAGTTTAAAATCGTTTTTGTTTTTATTATTCGAGATCTCAAAGTTCGAGTACGCGCTTTGGCGGGAGCCTGAAAATATCAGCCATTAATTTGTCACGTTTTCATTTAGTTCCATCAAAATCATTAGCAGAATCAGACGCCATTTTCTTAGCAGCAAATAATAATCAAAATTTCCCTAAGGAAAAGCCGAAGGACTTGAAAACAATCTCCAAAATATTGGGATCCAGAACTTTCCTTCTGATCCTTTCAGATCCAGAACACACCGAATATTTGAAGAAAAATTTCTCAATAATTTTTAACTTCTATTATCAACAAACTTGCAACTGATAAATTCCGATTTCGCTATCGCATACTGTTACATATGTGTGTATTAAAGTAAAATGCATTTCTTCTGTCTTCAATTCATTACAAATTAAAGTGAAGTCAACATTGCTTTCGTCATTCCGATGAATAAATGTGAATTCAGAACGTACAGAACTGTAATAGTTATAGAATTTTCTTCTTCGTTATAGAATAGTATATATTTTTGTATCCGTATAATTCAGAAAACAACAATAAACAATTATCCAAATTGCTTGAAATAGTGCCATTTGTGCTGATTCTTAATTAATTTTTATCGTTTTCTTGGTAAGTATTTTTTAGTTTTGAAAGAATAATTTCAACTAGAATTGGGTATAATATAGCCTACGTCACAGGTTGTGTTGTTCCTACTAAATTTAACCCATGAACGGCATTTTCTGCGAGCCTAACTTCAAGCCACAAATAAACAAACGAAGTGTTCGATCGTTTAAATAGCTGCTCGCCAGATTTTATTGCATTATAAAGAAAAGTTATTGAAACTAAATACAACTAAATAAACAACAACAACTAAAACAAATAACAACAACTACTAATAACAATAACTAAATAAACAACAACTAAATTCCATTCGTTTAGCATTGCGTCATATGTTGTTCCTACTAAATCGAAGTAGTTGTGTTTTTTTCATATTATACCCAATTCAGCTATTCTGTTCTCAGCTGCATATTCAAATTCATATCAAGATCTTACAATTATAAAATTTTGCTGTGTAGTATGTTATCTAAAAGTAATGATGGGATAAACTATGTATCTATTATTTGAGAATAAAGTTTTAAAACAAAGAACATATCATTTTGGAATTGGGTATACTATAGCCTACGTCACAGATCGTGTTATTCCTACTAAATTTAACTAGTAAACAGCATTTTCTGCGAACCTGATTTCTAGCAACAAGTAAAAGCATCAAACGAAGTGTCTTGTTATAAGTCGCTACTCGCCAGGTTGGAATTGTATTAGTCTAGTTCTTTTGGAAATAATTTATATTGTTGTTTTACCGAAGTTTATGAATTTAGTAAGCATATTTAAAACTCAGTTTACTAATTAAACTAAAAGGTAAATATTATTCCTAGTAGTAAGTGGAAGTAGTTGTGCTTTTTTCATATTATACCCAATACTCCGGATTTATAAATCAGGTAAGTGTAATGATTTTTACAATAAAAAATTTGCTTGTAAATAATTTTTTTCTCATTTGATGATAGTTCTCTACAGAATGGTTTTTTACGTCTGATTAAGAACTATAAGAATAATAAAAAAAGAAACAATATGAAAGTTTTTATTTCAATGTTAAGAATTCTTAAAATCGTTTTTTTTATCCTAAGAATTCTTTATTTTCCGTTTTTTAGTTTATAATTTTTTGATAAAAATTGTTCTCAAAATACTTTTGAAAAATTAAATGGTATAACATTATGTGTTTATGTATACTTCTTGTATATTCCAATGTTTGAAATAATATGATTCAGAAAAGTATGGAATAAAAATTCGGTACTTACGACGTATTAACGCCACCGCAACTACAGATTTGGCGGTTTTTAAGTGCCACCAATCTACACCCAAAATTTTTGCGACAAATCATATAATAAAACACTTTATTTAAAATCAAAGTAGTTTATCGGATTTCGGGGGACAATGGGCAAAATATTTCGCTCCTGAAAAAATAAAATTGCATCTTGTTCTATTTTTGGCAAATCCCAAAGACGCATTTTCGTAGCACTAAAAATGGTAACAATAATCGAAGAGCAAATCATTTTGGAATTCTGCTGATTTATAAAGCAGGTAAGTGTTAATTTTAATAAAAAATTTTACTTTTAAATAATTTTTTTCTTATTTGATGATAGTTTTCTATAGAATGGTTTTCTACTTCCGATTATAAATCAAAAAATAAAAAACATGAAATTTGTTTATTTTAATGTAAGGAAATTTTAGAATTAGTTTTTTTCCTTTTAGTTTTGTACCGTAAGCATTATTTATTTCTAAATAATGATTTTTATTAAAACTTAAAATTTTTTGATAAAAATAGTTGTCAAAAAACTTTTTTTTAACAAATTAAATTATATAAAATTATGAAGCTTATGTATATTTTTTGCTTATTTTAATGTTTGAAGTAATATGATTCTTAAAACTATGGAATGTAAAGTTTAAATAGGCCTTTCACGTCATATCATTGAATTTAGTGAAACTATTTCTCAGGCATTAAGTTTTAATTCTAATAAGAAGAAACATATTTTTTTCTGTTTATTTACAAATATTTCTCACGTGTGTTTTGGATGTTCCTTCTTTAAAAAAAAGAGATACCGTCTTGTTTTCGGTTGCATAAGAAAGGATATCAAACATTTTTTCTTTTTTAAATTTGATAAGCCGCAATACAGAAGGAACGTTACAATGCTACACGCTACATTAAAGACTTCTCCAGAGTAACTGAATGACTGTTCATATAGAAATCGCAGGTATTAGTCTCATACAACAACGCCCCCTATAGGTCATTGCGATCACGAATTATGGCCAAGAAAGTTTTTTGAACAGAAATAATGTGATAATTGTGTAAAATTTGAAAGCTAATTTCAAGAAAGAGCCGAACTTACCTTTACAGCTAGAAAAATGTAAAATGTTCATAATAGTTTGCTCGAAGAGTGGAAAGAACCAGTCCTTCTTTCTTTTCCTTAGGCAACCATGATTTTACTATCTTTTTTTAAGTTGATATGGTTTGATGGATGATTATCGTCTGCCTTACTTCTTAAAAAGATACATTTCAAAGTATAAATAAGCTCAAACGATTTTTTTCCTTTATCCAAAGTTAATTAAACAGAAAAAGACATATTACAAATTATTTATTTCCAAAAAATGCTACTTCAAAATTTTAACTATTCGTTACAATTTATAGGAATTAAATTGCTTATGAAACTTATAAAAGTTCGTAAAAATTTCCTAACTCAATTGCAATCAATATTTTTAAAATATAATATTAATACTCAAATGTATCTTTCTAAACACTGTTTAATCGTCTGCTATACAGAAATTAATCTCGTCAGAAAGCAAATGATATTTCATAGTATAAAGTTGTTCTAAATGTCGATAGTTGGCGTATTGTGTTCCTGTGAAAAATGAATGGAACTTGTGAAATAAATAAATTGCATTCTAACTGGGAATCTCTAAGTGAGTACGAACGAAAGCGCTATTCAAATGTAATTAGAAACTGGGAAGTTCTGAAATCTTTAGGTATGTTTTATTTTCTTGAAACTTCTTTCAGATTTTAGATAAGATGTTCTTCAAAGATAGTAATGTGGTCATAATTGTCTTTCATACTTAAATAAATTTTATACAGCAACAATAAATATTTACAGTAATTTTTTAAACATTGTTTAATGTAGTTCATTAGTTACTTTCTTATGATTTTTAATGTAAATCTGAAAAAGAATTCTAAATTTTTTATTTATCAAAAATTGCAATAATAATTTATATTAATGTATTATTATTCCATATGTAAATTAAATGTATTAGTTTCTTTTTCTTTTGTTTTTTTTTGTGTGTTATTTGTGGAGAAAATTTAAGCCTGCGATTAACAGAAATAAAATCACATACTTTATTACACCAAGCAGTTATACATTATTACTATGTTATGGATGATTACGAATATGTCATATAGATTAAATACAGTATATGTTAAACATTTATGTCTTTAAAAGTTTTCGGTAATAAACTAAAAATTAGGAGCAACTTTAAAAGTTTTAACAAAAAAGTAGGATATGAATTCCATTGATGGATTTTCAAACTATTCTTTTCGTAAAGGAAGAGGGGTAGGTTTGACCTTGGGTCACGATTAAATAGTTTTGCTTGTTTTTTCAAATAACATATTAAACGAGTACTTAAAATTCTATGAAAGAATCACATATATGAAAGAATTCCACAAGTTCATGGGTGACATTTTTATTTCGAAAATAAATTTTTTTCAAAATAATTTTCGTCACTTTTATTTAAAAATGATTTTATTACTAAATACTTTTTGAAACTCTACTACTTTACTTTCTAAAGTATTTTTCTATACGGACGTAGCAATAATTTGTAATTGTTTAAGAAGGATATATCATTAATTTAATAATGATATCAGCAAATTATGTTTATATCATAAGGAAAAATATTGTGATCTTTTGTGGAATCAAAAGAATTAACGGTAGTTCAGTCCATTTAAAACGTGGTAGGTTAATCATTATAATAATTCAGCGAAATTTTATAATAAGAATTTAGTTACTTTAAAGAGTTATACATTTTTAATCTTTAAATTATAATTAAATTCATTTGTATTTGTTAGAATTAGAAAATTATTTCAAATATTATTTTCTTTTCAAGATACTTAACACTAGTCTGAAATGAAGAATAAGAAAATGTCTGGAAAAACTCACTAAATAGTTTGCTTTACATCAAATAGTTTATGTCAAAAAAACTGTTTTTCACTTTTTCGTTAAATTGGAACAAATTCTGAATAAATTTTTAATACTTACTGGGCAAAAAATTCTTTTTAAACAAATTATCTCGTACCCTCACTCCTAAAGGTTATACAATATTTGCTGCACATTTAAGTTTTTTAAAAAAACTAATTTAATAAAATATTATATTCTTTTTAAGGTAATATGAATGGCATAAAGCTTTGAAAAGTGTCTATGCGTTTTTTATTGCTGTTATGTTCCAAATTTTTAATACATAAAGACATAAAACTATAGTGCACTAAAATTTTGTGATGATATTGTGATGAAAATAATTGTTTTCATGCAGAAAATGCTGTTAACGTAATAGGGCATGAAGATAGGGCAATTCTTGTAACGTACTAGGGCGATTCCTGTTCTATTAATTTGTTATTCTGAATAAACTTACTTTTAGGGGTTGCTTCGAAACTTCCTAAATTTCTGGAGCCTGAGAAAAAAGCACCTTCAAAAGTAAACAAATTTCCAAGAAATCAGCAAAGTATTCCTAAAAGTCAACAAAATGGTAAGGCTTTAAGCTAATTACCAGTAAGCAACCATTATTTTATACTTTTAAATGCCAGTTTTATTACTTTTAAGCTATGTTTATTTAAAAAAAGGAACTTTAGATATCTTGGTAAAAAAGGAGATTAAAATTAGATCTAAACATGAGTCTGAATATAGATAATCCATAAAACTTCCTTTGTTGTCATTTTACTGTCATACTTAAAGCAACCATGACTAAAAAAGAGTACATGTATGCTGAATATCTAAAATGTTTTTTATTGAAATAAGAGAAGTATATAATTGGGTATAATATGAAAAAAACACAACTACTTCGATTTAGTAGTAACAACATATGACGCAATGCTAAACGAATGGAAGTTAGTTGTTGTTTATTTAGTTATTGTTATTAGTAGTTGTTGTTATTTGTTTTAGTTGTTGTTTATTTAGTTGTATTTAGTTTCAATAACTTTTCTTTATAATGCAATAAAATCTGGCGAGCAGCTATTTAAACGATCGAACACTTCGTTTGTTTATTTGTGGCTTGAAGTTAGGCTCGCAGAAAATGCCGTTCATGGGTAAAATTTAGTAGGAACAACACAACCTGTGACGTAGGCTATATTATGCCCAATTGAAATAATATTCCAAATTGATAGTTTTTACTTTTAACAGCTATTGAATTTTAAATTTCAAAAATGTACTATTTTCTGACCTTTAAAACTTAAGGAATACTTTAAATTTACATATTAGTTAATTTCTTCATTACTCGGTCCACATATGCGGATCTTGGTTTTTAGCTTCTAAAAAGACACTATAAGAAAAAGTATATTTCTATCCTCACTTAAATATTCGTGGACCCTTAAACGTTCTGGAGATTACAACAGATGTCGAACATGTAATTTATTTGGGTAAAATTCCGACTTTTATTTTCATTCTACTTTTGAATCAGTAGGGGAGAGTGGGGTCAATTGTAACATTTTTTACTTAACTATTTTTAACTAACAAAAAATCCAATATATTATTAGTATTAATTGACAGACGAGTAAAGCAGACTATCCTTACTAGCAAAAAAATAAATACCTTATTTTAAATGTTAGTTATTAACAATTTTTGACAGTCGTGCACTTGTTACAATTGTCCCCACTTACGGGGTCAATTGTAACAGTTCATAAATTCAACTAAAACATAGTTAATTATACATATTATCATAGTTGTGATATATTTTTTTATTGATCAAAATAGTAGTGATATTTTAGGAGTAAAAATAATAATGAGCAGAGACCTAAAGGGTTAAACTTTTAACTTTAAGGGGTTAAAAATTTTAATTTATGCTGTGAAAGGTGACAAATAAAATAATGCACATGCAACATAATATAAATGATATAGGAAACTATTGGTGGTTCTTAAAGAGTTAAGTAATGGTTTGTAAACATAAGATTATTTATTTTCAGCTGTTACAATCGTCCCTTTACTTATTGTTACAAACGTCCCCAAAACACCATTTCAGCTTCATTTGTTATAAACAATGCTAGTTAATTAGCAAAGCTAATCTTTTTTTTGAAATGTTAATTAAGGTATCCATTTACATATTCGGTTAATAATTTTTATTTGTTTAAACAAAATTACTTTGTTACAATATAATATTCTAATTCCAAAAAAAGTACTCATGTAGCGTGAAAATATCTTTTATGATGTAACTCTTTCAAAAGTACATAAAAATGGCTGCCAGCAGGGGTGTACATGTAGATTTATTAAATACACCTTGTGCGCCACCTAGGAACCAAATCTAGAGCCCGACACTTGAAATTTTCGCTCTGTTACAATCGTACCATGTTACAATTGACCCCACTCTCCCCTACTTAATGAAACTTTTAAATTTATATTCACTTAATATTTAAAATTAATACAGTCAAGAATATGCTGGTACACGTATGTGTGCTTTAATATGTATAACAAAATTTATGACTGCGTAGCATATTACTTGACTGTAATCAGATGAAATCTCATTATATTTTGAGTATTTAATTTTATGCCTATTTAGTAATATTTTAATGTGTGTGTTTTAATTCATTGCTTTATTCATTACTTAGATACATACATAAATTTAATAACTCTAACTTTTAGTGTCTTTTTTTAATTTTGAAATTTTACCGTCAAGAATTCAATATATTTTTATAAATATTGTTATATTCTTCTCAAGAATGATTTATTTTGCATGTTTTGCATAACTAAAACAATTTTGAAACTGCAAATGCATGCAGTATTGTACTGTATTTAGATAAAAAATTTATATTTTGAAATTTTAATTTGATTTTTTAAATAATCATTAAATTTATTCATTATCGTAATCAAATTGGGCTATAATATAACAATGTGCATATTTGTTCTTGCTTTAGGAGCAATTTAACATTTAAAATATTTATATTCCTTTGCAATTCAAATTTCATATTCATTCATCAACAACTCGTATTTTGTTTAATTTTATTATGACTTAAGACAGTAATATAGAAATTTGAAATTGTAAAATATTTTTTGCAATATTCCTTCGTACTTTAGCAATGAAACGGTACAGAATGGTGAGTATTTCCCAATTTTTGAATTAGATGAGAGGCTAGAAGATTAAAAAATCAATTATTAGTAATATACTATACTTTTTTTAAACTCACGGAAAATTACAAGGAAAATTAGAGTGTTCTGGTTTTTTTGCACAGCGAAATTAGTTAAATCAGATTTTAGAGCAAGGTGATTTGATTTTATTTATTCTGAGAGTGATTCATTTATTAAATTTTATCTCTTAGAGACTCTGACACGTCACATAAAAGCATGAATGATCGGACGATTTACCTATTTCCTCTATAATTGGCAAAGTGATTAAGAGTTTAAAAAGTAGTACTAATAAGTAGTAATAAGTAGTAGTACTAAGTTAAAATATTCCGCAAAATTTACATGTTTTCAGAACTTTATTTATCTGCACAAATTGAATTTTCTTCATTTTCTTTTGCATTAATCTGCAATTAACATTAGATTTGTTTACTTGTTTAATCTCATTACTTTATAGCAACGTTATATATTTTAATGGATCAAATTCTTTACTTTTTATAGTCAAAGACTTCGAGAAAACGAGTTTCAAGTTATTTGCTGCATCTGAATCTCAAAAGAGAAACGAAAAGCTTTGTCAAAAGAGTAAGAATTATAACCGTTTCACTATTTTGCTTTATAAAAAATGCAGTTGTAAGTATGAAAGCATGATAGAACTATTGTGCAAAAATTACTTGAAAGTATGTTTTTTTTCTTTCAGAAATTATAAAGAATCGTCGTAAAAAGTTAAAACAAGATGAAAATGTAAGTTGAGAAACTCTGAAATGAATTTTTAACAAAATTTCCTGTAAAAACTGATACAAATTCCAGATGCTTTATTATAAATATATCTTTAAATTGCGTAAAATAATTTTTGATTTTCAGACTATTAATTAGCACTAATTATTTAGTATATTTAAAGTGAATCTCTCAAAGGTTATTTTGTATTCGTATTTTGTGTTCTTAGGGAGAACAATTTATTTTAAATACATATGCTGTATTTACTTTATTTAGTAATAATGAATCACTTAAAAGATAATTTATGTTAAAGAATATTTCCTATTTATCAATAATTTCATTTCATTTCCCAAGGAACCAGAGATGAAGATTCATCCAAGAGAATTTGGCTTAAAGAAGTTTGCAAGGACTTTGCTGGAGAGAGCTCAGCGTCATTTTAAAGATTTGGAACCCTTTTTACCTGAAGATGACCAGGTCATTGAAGACGAAATAGACAAAGGTAAATTGATTCACTTAATTTAAAAATTAAAACATGTTTTTCTTATAGGAAATGTTAGAATATGTGGAAAACCCATCATAATTTTACATCATTATTCCTATATAAGTATTTTACATTATAGAGAACGGAGTTGGAAAATCGAATTTTCTTTTTAATTTTTCGACTTAATGTAAAATCTTTGCATAATATCATTAAGTGTATTACAATAAGAGAATGAAATAAAGGGTATATGTGAGGATAAATCTTGATAATAATCTTGATAATCGTGAAATAAATCCTGATAAAATTCTGTTATTATATCCCTCTCTCCTCCTTCGAATCCAAGTCGTAATCAATGACACGTTACATTTTCAATTTGAAAATAAGAGTATTTAGCAACAAGCATTTCTTCATTCATATTATACAAAATCTTGACATGGAATAAACCTCTAAACAAGTTCACTGGGAAAATTTCTGCATTAAATTAGGGGCAAAGTTGCTTCATCATCCATAAAATTCATTTTTTACCTTAAAATCCGTTTTTACTGTAAAATATTGTACCGTAATGTTAGCAGTTATAATTAGTAAATTTGAGTGATTCTTTGAATTTGATGTAATTCTCTGTAAAAATTCTGCATATTAGGTGTTTTGTTTCACAATATATTCCAGTAAAAATGCATTTAAGGTAAAAAGTACCGGTATCGTGAGTGCTGGTACTTTTTACCGTAATTTGATCCAGTATTTTCCTATAGTGCAAGAGGTTACTGTGATGACAGCAATTCTTCATTTATTTATAGTTTCTTTAAGAGCTCGTTTGTTTAAAAAGTCAGGCTTGGATAATTGATTGTTTTTATTAAAATTTTAATGATAGGTCATTTATATTAAATTATCAGAACTGTGTCTTTTTATTTTCAAAAATACTCTTTTTAAAGTTTGTTTTGAAAGAATTAGAAAATTAAGGCCATTAGGTCACAAACACATTATTTACTATATGATAGATACATTATTATGCCATGAGTGAACTAGAACAATGACAATTACTTTCTGTTCCACTAATTTCACACTACTTATGGGTATATATACTTATATGTAAATACTTATAGGCAACTTTTGGTACATCTGTCAATAGGTATTCAAAATTACACTAAAAATTACATTTTTACATGATCAAAATATTCTTATAACAAGAATTAAATTAAAATGTATATATCTCAGTGAATGCATACTAGTGATAAATAACCAAAAAATATTATATAGATCGGTGTAGAACATGTTTATCGTGCATGACTTTTAGAAAATAATGCTCAAAAACTGAAATAAAAGTTTTTATTACTTTGAATTCAGTTTTTTTTTTATTATTTTGATATAAAATAGTAAGAAAATAGATTCTCCATTTAAAATAATAATGAATAATTTGTATATATATAGAATTCTCTATGGTAAGTTGATTTATAATTGCGTTCAAAATTGTTTGACCAACTTAATTTCTTGAGCTAAAAGCGCAAAACTGAAATTAACATAAAGGAGGCCGAATAGAACGCTATTCCGAAAATTCAGACTAATATTATAAATAGAGAATGCCACAAATACTTTCAATTTTTAAACATATAATGGACATTTTTGATTGAGTGAGAAAATATAAATTTTCGTCGAAGTTAGAAAACGTAAAACATTTTATATAATTTAATGGCTCTTTTTTAAATTTAATGTGAGCTTTTATTTCAAAATATTGTCAATGTTAATCATTTAAAAACAACAAAAATACTAATAAATATATGATTAAGACTTTAGTTTATTCTTTATTAGAACTTGAAATTCCAAGTCGATATCCTAAAAGGAACATCAAGCAAAAATCTTATAAAGAAGAAGATGTCTCCAGCGATGACGAGTTCCTTTGTAAATATAACACTTATCTGCTATTTTTAAAACATGATAAATTATGATATATTATACGTGAATAATACTTTTGGAGTTTTATTTGCCTTACTTTTTTAAGCTTCTTTTATTCTTAAAGCTATTTAAAACTATACTAAATTGTTTTGATTTTAATCGTTCGTTTTACCCTTTTTCAACATCAAAAGTTTAATCAATCCAAAATTTGAAATATTAAGAGGTGAAATCTTACTTTGAAAGAAAGTTAAAATACTTTTTATTCTGAAACTGTATAGCGGTTTTTAAAAACCAAGAAATTATCAGAACTGAAACTAAAAAACTGTGATGAAAATAATGTAATTATTTTGATAAAAGCATGTTTCGTGCATTTAAACGGATTGATACGGCGATATCAAGCTTTGTAATTAAAATTTTTTTACACTAATGAAAACCTTTTTCTTTATTTATTTACCGCGTTTTACTATATATGTTTCATATTCAATTTTTCAGAAAATATTGATAAGGAAATACCAAACTTAAGTAGAAATAGTTTAAATTTTCTAATTCCAACAAGAAAATTGCTTTCATCTTTGTTATGTTATTATTTATCTTTTATTTGAATATAGTATTTTATTTCATTTATTTAATAAATTATTTCTCAAATTAAAAACAAAGTTAAATTTCTTAAAATAAAATAAAATAACAACAATACTAATAATAATACTCTGAGAAGAAATATGGTCAAATGGAATGCTCGGAATATGATTTAATTCAGCGTGCTTCTATGGGAACGTTAAAAAGCTCGGTAATTTTTATCGAAGCAATTCGGCAATGATTTTGCTAAAACTAGCAATAAAATATGGTTTTATAATATGTGATAAAATTTGGTAATTTTATAGTGGCAGAGAAAAAAAACAATTTATACGATTAATTTTATTTTTCAGTTTTGAAGTTCTTACTAAAATGTTAAAAAGAGCTCTAATTTTGAAAACCAGAATTTCCGTTAAACTGTTACTATATTACAAATATTACAAAATTACCAAATTTAAAATACAAAGTTTAAAATGCATAATTTACACACGAAAAATCTCTATTGACTCAGTTAACCGAAAAACTATGTAACAGAATAATTTCAAAAATATTATTTTTTGAAATCTACAAAATTCAGTTTATATTTATTAATATCAGCATCAAGTTCACTTACTACATTTTAAATATTGGGGATTTGTTTCTTCTATATGCAGATTGTGATTTTTGCGACTGTGACTACAAAGGCGCTTGTCCAAAACATGGTCCTATGCTTTGGGTATGTGATCGAAGAGTAAGTATTAAATTCTTAATAAATGTTGATTTGATAGTTATAGGTTAAAAGTAAGTTTCCTATACTTACTTCACTGTAATATTTTAATTAAAAGTGAAAGTTAGGTTGATTAGAAAGTATGAATCTATCAACTATTCACAGTTTTCTTTAAACTGTTTTTTATCAGCGATTGACAAATTGAAGAATTTTGTCTAAGTGGCATATCATTATATCACAAAGTGACATACTCTAAACCATAGTCCTTATTCGATATCCACACAAATTCAAGCGTTTAGATTTACTAGCGCTAGATTTGAATTTAAAAATAGTTCTTGAATTTCAGGTTTTCTATGTATCAGCCTTTTAAAAATTTTACCAGACTACAAATATTATAAATAAATGTTTTCTTAATTTCTACAACTGATTTAAATTTATTATATGACATTTTCTAAAAAAATTACATTTGGGCCGACGGAAACTATATTCTAAAAACAATTTTAGGAAGAATTCTTTCTTTCTTAAGATTGTAAAATATCTTTTTTAAAGTTTGTTTGAATTATTACTTTCTCCAGAGTTGAATTATTATTACTTTTCTTATATAACCATATAAACAAGTAAAATATAAGCATAATTTTATAAATTCACCAATGAAGGACAAACAAGACAGGCACATGTTTTTTTCATATTTTCTAAGAAAAATAGTAATTTCAAATTAAATCTTTCAACATTAAAGTACTGTAATAAAAAAACATTTACAAATGCCAATTGATTATTATCAAATTATCTTAAGCAAGCGATTGAATGTGTGCGAACTGTACGTTACTTACTTAAATATTATAAGTAATATTGTATTTACTAATAGTAGTATAAATTTTAATAAATGATACATAATTTAAAAGAATTGGATTTTTCAGCAATGCATGGAAATTTAAATAATTTTTTATCAATTGAGAACAAACTTTATATTATATGACATAACTTAAAATCATCGGATTTGGTATCATTCATAACTGCTACAAAATATTTTCTCTTCATTCAAAAATTTTTTTAATACTTATATAGAATTTCCCTGAATTCTGTTTCATATTCTTATGCATGTATCTTTATTTGTATTTTATCAGGTAATTTCAAAAGTTTTCTCTGGGATGATATGAATTATTATTTGTTTAGAGAAGATTTCGTATTTGTTAAAAAAAGTCTTTAATAAATTAAAGTTCCTGGCAATAATTTGTTATTTCTAGTTTCAGAGAGTATAATTTTTAAAATTTCAGAAAAAACATAATTTCTCATGGTATAAATAATTTTCAGCACACAATTCTTGATATTTTTATAGGTTTAAACATAAGAAGCTCGAGTTAGAGAAAAAAATAACGGTAATTGCGATTTTCTTAGGCCAAAAATATCCTGAGTTTTGTAAGGGTAGTATCAGCAATCGGTTTGATTCTCAAAAAGCGGTGAGACCATTGGATATGAAAAAGTTTTGAATACAAAAGATAAGTTTCAGTTAAACGTTTAATAATTTCATCAGAATTTAAACGAAAATCTTCTAAAAGTATCATCTTTTAAATGAAAAAAATCGAAAGTGATTCAAGATTTGTTTCTTTACCTAAGATAGTTTTTGTGACTTTGGAAATTATGGCCTTATAGGTTCCCAAAAACTCATCAGACCGAGCTGAGCTGACAATTCCAAGTTTTCTCTCGATTGGAATATCGAGCATTCCAAAAGCAGGACTCGGAATATGGACAGAAATCCCATTGCCTATAGGAACAGTGTTCGGTCCCTACAAGGGAAAGATTATTAGAACAAGACAAGAGGCAGAAAAATCTGGTTATTCTTGGATGGTAGTTACTTAATTTTTTATATTTTTCAAATTGGATATTTTTTTTAATTCTGATTATAATATTATTTTTAAATATATATTTTAGCATATTTGTTCTAGTGTTAATTATTAATTTTATTTCAAATTTAATGCTTAAGAGGTTAATAATAGCTTTAAGTTCAATTGATAATGTTAACTTAATTTTGTTTAGGTATGGAAGGGAGAGAGAGTGAATCATTATATTGAAGGTTTCAAAAAGGATATTTCCAACTGGTTGAGATTCGTGAATTGTGCTGATAAGGAAGAGAAACAAAATTTAGTAGCAATCCAGTACAAGAAACAAATCTATTACAAGACTTACAGAGATGTGTTGCCATTTCAAGAGCTACTCGTGTGGTATGGGGGAAAGTATGCCTCTGATCTAGGAATCAGCTTGAAAAGGGACATTGAAACCAACCAATTAAATATGACTGTAAATCTATATAAGTTAAGATGATTATAATCTAAGAAGATTAATGGTTATACTGAAATTTTCAAATCTGAGAATTCGATTGGGCAAAGTATTTATAAGACAACATTTTAAAAGTGTTTCCGTTTTTTGAGAATACCATAAAATTTCCTATCTTAGGTTAAAATATCATTGTTTTTAAAATATTTTCCATTTTAAGTTTTATTCATATGCCATTGTGCAGTTTAATCTATGATTTACATTTTGTAAATATTTTTAAACAAGGCTTTGATGTTATCGTATTATTTTTGTTTCACCACTCACGAACAACGCAAATTCAGCTAGTTAAACGATGAATAAAAAAATTGATAAATAGATATTTTTCATATTGAATATGCATTAAATTTTTTATAGTATGTCCATAAAAAATGATAAATTATCCTAAAAAAATTTTGCTCTGAAATTTCTTTTAGAAAAACAAGTTATTTCAGAAAATAATTTTTTTCCGTGCAAATAAGTTATGATTCAAGCATCGTTCCAGTAAAATAAAGGTATATTCGAAAAGTAAAATTGACTGAGATGAAAAAAATTTGTCTTGAAAAAAAAATTGTAGATTGACGTCTTTTTTTCTAAAATACTACTACCATATTTTTCATATTGCATCAACTCCCATATTGAGGTAAAAAATCTGACGTCATCTAATAGTTACCCTATTATTATTCACAGAAGACAATTTTCGTGACTGACTTCATAACCTAAATTCTCACTAGCACAAATTATTTATAGTATTTCAGTTAACTCTTGAATCATTAGGATTACATGTTGGAATATTAAAATCTTATCATTTGAACAAAAACTATCACATTGTCCCGTGTTTTTATTCGTGGCTGTGTATAATGAGCAGAGTTATAATTATTATATATTACACTTATTTCATTAAATAGAAATAAATTGGAAGTTTCCTTATCACGCGTTATAGCTAATGACACTCTACTTATTTCAAATACATTTTCATTCAATTAAAAAAAATTGTATCAATAATAATATCGTATTTTTTTTTAAAAAAAAACAGTCCTATATTTCATAAATATGGTCTTAACAAAAAATTATACAATTTAACAATATCATTATTTTAGTCTTTTTTTTCATTAAAAGTGTTTTTCTTAAGAATATATGTATTACAAAGCGTAATAAATAAATGAAAAAGAAAGAAAAAGGCAATAAGATATACGAAAAAAAGTTATTTTTTATAAGGAGCGATATTTTCTTATGATTTTAGTTAACCAAAAGTATAAAAATATTTATCAAAAATTGCTTCCGAGAGTATATTGCATTTGTGGTTTATGTATATACATTCAATGCTACTTTTATTTTTACAACAACTTGCAGTTAGATCCGAGATTAACATAGTTTACATTATAGGTGTAGAAGGTGTGGCATGCGATGTCTGCAGTTCATTGTTCACATCCGTGGATGCCATGGAGCGACACAGGAGGAAACATCCCCATCAGGGACACGATCGAAGGCACCGATGTCCCCACTGCGTCTACTCCACTAACAACACAAGTAATCTACGACATCACCTCACTACTCACACGGGTGTGAGGAGACACGGATGTCCCCACTGCCACAAGACATTCACTGAAAAAGGAAGTCTCAAGACACACCTGAGGATCCACAGTGGAGAGAGACCCTTCTCTTGCGGAGTGTGCGGAAGTGACTTCATTCAAAAAGGACACTTGGAGAGACACGAGAGAAGTCACAGCGGCATCAGACCTTACAGATGTTCCACCTGCGGAAGAGATTTCACCCAATTAGCACATCTTCAAGCACACATAAGAATCCACACACTGCAGAGACCCTACAAGTGCTCCGTCTGCCAATACAGGGCCACCACATCTTCCAATCTTAATAAGCACGTTATTCTGAAACACACAAAACAGTTCCCCCATAAGTGTCACCTGTGTGAAAGAGGTTTTGTTAAACAGAGTCTTCTTAAACGACACAAAGACCGCATACATCCTCAATACAAGTAAATAAATAAAGAACTGCACATAATGTCAATATACCGTCATAACGAAGAATGTTTAGTAGGGACATTTACAATAAACGCCTATTTTTCTTCATATTTGAAATACACTGATGGTGAAAGCTATGGGAGTCAGCTTAGAAGAAAGATCAATAAAATTGGAGACGGGGACTTTATTTTCCTTTATATTATTTATTTCTCATACAAAAATAAATGTTTGGGGTTTTTTTCCTCATTCACTTTTATTATAAATCTTAATTTTAATTTCTAAATCGATATTGATGTACAGTCCCTGGCCAAATGATTAGACGCATTATAAGATTCTTTGCAAAATCCTAATTATCAGACGATACTATACAGCTTTATTGTTTTTGCGCAGCTGAAACCGGTTTGCACTTGTTGACGTTCGTATATCAATTGGTTAACGCAGTAATGCAATACGTTAAAAATAAATAGAAAAAGGAAGGATATGAAGAATCTTCTGTCCCTGTAAATAAAAAATCTAATCCAATAAGAATAAAAACCCATTGCTTGTATGTTTAAAGATAAAAGTATTGCATATTTACTCGTGCAAAGCATGTAATTATTAAAAAAACAACAGTGCGTCTACTAATTTGGTCTAATTATTATAATACCTGGTATAATAAATACTCTATATTTATATAATATATCGTCTAATTTATCCTATAGTCTAATTTACATTATATATCATCTAATTTAAACAATTGATACACAAACAAGTAACAAACTGGTTTCTGTCTCGTAAAAATAATAAAACTGTATAGTATCGCCTGATACTTAAGATTCTACATGGAATCTTGTAATGAGTCTAATAGTTTGGCCAGGGACTGTATGTGTAACTGACATAGTTATTATATTTTCTTTTTTTATAAAATCATTTAGGCCTCTGTATTTTGAGACTTTGAGATGTACTTTTAGCTGCAAATGTGTTTAGTATTTTCTAAAGTATAAGTTTGGTTAAGAGAAACGAGTTTTTGTTTCAAAACATTTTACAGCAATCAACCATTTTACAGTTATACTTCAAGGAAATTTATGAGGTAAAAAAAGTCAATTAGGGATTTAAAGTTCTCTATGTTTCCTTTGGTTATTGGAGTCAAAAATTTTACTTATTGACATAGGTATTGCTTAATTATTTTTAAACGTTTTTAATTTTAAGCAGAATATTTACCCTCCTTAAGGAAGATGGAAATATTATTAGACAAAAAACGTTTATGTTGTTAAAAGTTCTATTATTATTATTATATAAACTACATTTGAAATTTTCATGGTATGGAAAATGAACAATTTTGCTGAAGCTATGTGAATGAAATAAAAATAATACTTTATTTTGTTTTGTATTTTTTGAAATTCTTTTTTTCTGAAATCTTAATAGCTCTCATGTTAAGTTTATATGGAATAGATAAAAGTAAGCAGTATAGAAGGAAATAGTGTGTGTATCAGGATAGTGTATAAAGATAAGTCAAATGTCACTGATAGCATTCACAAATTGCGTGCAAAATTTCAAATAATAACAATGCAATCTGATCTTACAGTTGTGATGAACTTGCAGTTAAAACTAAACTTAAATTTGGCCCCACATACGATTTGGAAAAAATGTTGTATGATTTATTTTCCCAAAAAATAGGCATTTACAGCATAAAGAATCTTTATAAGAAGATTAGAGCGTTGCTAATTAAATCATAAAATACAAACAAAATATTAATTTATATTTTTAAAAAATCTATTTTCCAAAAGTTATTATTAAAAGTACAAATCTGTATCTTCATTTATGTAGATTAAAATATATTTTTAAAGATAATTTTTTTTTTTTTACGAAGGTTTAAATGCCACTGAAAAACACTATATTTGTAAATTTTTAACTGATAGCTGTCTTAATGAACTGCACTCAGAATTAGTTTTTTTTTTCATCTAATTCTGCATTTCTCTGGATTTAATGTTTTGATCAACAATCCTTTGCAATTTTATCTTCGCTTCAAGACTTCGTTGACTATAATTTCATATTTTTTGCTGATTTCGCCACATCTCCAAAACTAAAGATTTTCCTCGGTTAACTAAAGATATTTCCATTGAAAGAAATATTAAATATTTACTTTAATAGAAACAAACGAAATTCGAGAGCATCTGTACATTAGTTTCTGATTTATTAATATGTAATAATTCCTATGCTTAAAATTTGATTTCTCAAGAACAGTTCCACAGCTTTCCTTCAAATTTTGCATTTTGCCATATAATCTTACATGTTTTAAAATGATTCACAAACTTGCATATTTTACTGTTCACCTTTTTCGACTATTATAAAAGAAAATAATAAAAAATTATAAATAATAAATAAATGTTATTTTTGTATGAAATATCATCAGATAAACAAATTTTGTTATTGTTGTGGTAAAAATGTTTTGATTTACTTAAGAACTTCTCAAAACATAACGCAATACACAAAAATTAGGGTTAAAGGTCAAAACATCGTTCTCCTGACAAGCCTATTGGGATCATATATCCCGGATTGTGGCCACTCCCGTATTTTTAGGATAACGAACCCGAATGGATCGAAAAAAAGGTATGTTATTGAGAGAAAATACTTTTTCGTGTCTGATTCCGTTGCTTAAAATATCATCTACATTAAATAGTATACATATTTAAGAATAAACCTTCGAACTACTAAGATTGAGTCATAGTACTCAAAAATCCAATCATTTAATCTAAAGTTATTCATGGTGTTTACTTTTTTTTTAAATTTTGCGCACTGCGTATTTAAACATCTACAGTAACGTTAAGGAAGATAATTCAAACAATATGCATTGCTTCCAGGATGAGAGCGCAACGGATTGTCTAACAAGTGTTACATCTGCGCAAAGTTTACTTTGCTGAATGAAGAAATTATAGGCATGTAAAACAGTTCTCGTACAGATGCTAGTACTTGTGCAATATAGAGAGACAGAAAGGTAAGATCCATCGTTTACAATAAAGGAGTTATAGTGAACAAGATTTTCAATAATTACCACCCTTAATGCATTTTTACAGAAACTTTAACAGAAAGTAGCCACCATAGTTGTCAAAAATTATTGTGTCATCACTCTTGAGGAAGCTGGGATAAAAAACAATTAGATTGTCCAATATTTTTCTTAGCATATTGTTTAAAAATTTTACTTCACTTTTAGCACCATACTTTTCCTAAGTTTTTTATTCAGAACAATTGAATAACATAAATGCATTTAAATTTCGGAAATTACTTTCCTTTTTAAAGAACACAAACAAGAAGTTCTCTAAAATGAATCCTTATTACGACTCTCATGAATATCTAAGTAAAGCGTTAAGTTTTGGCATCTGAGCTCTTAGGTTTGGGTTAATTTGACAGTTAATTTAGAATAGAAGAGAGTGTGTACTCTAACCAAAGACTGTGTTTAGGAATTGAAATAGTGGAAACACCTAATTAAGATGGCTGGCAAAGTTCCTTTTATGAATATTCATATTCATTCGGTAAAGCTCAAATTGACTCCGAAAAGGCTTGGAAGTTCGTTGGTAGTGCTTTTATTTTTTGAGCATTCTTCTTCGAATATTCTATGAATAATTTAAGAAATAAGCTTCGGAATTTATTTTTATAATTAAACAACCAGTGCGAAATTTAAATGTATCATAAAATGTAGTTACATTGGTTATCGAAAATAATTTTTATAAATATTTATCAACTTTAAAACATACCAAATACCAATTTTTATTAATATTTTATGATAAAAATTTGCGTAATTGTTTTGATTGACTGTTTATATTGATTATCAAGGCTATTAATCTTGCTTTCCATAACACTAAACTAAATAGGTGGTTTCTATGCAAATTAAGGTTCTTAAAATTTTATACTTCCAGCTTTATAATCATAGTATTTTAAGTATCAAGAATCAGCTTTTATCAGAACTTATAACCTAATTTTATTGATATTTTTAGTAATATAATTACCTCTTCAAGAAATTAATCAACCATTACCGATACCATTACTGCATTGTAAGAATAAATATATTTGCATAAATATAAATTTATTTTATTGTGTATCAAATTTTAGTTTTTATTATAAGCAAACATTACAAAAAAAAAAGATTTAATTATCAAAAATATAAGAGACAAAATGTCTCTAGCTAAATTTTGTTAAAAATGTTTATTACTTACACTGTTAAAAATTTCTCCTTCAAAAATGGTCAAATAACTATTTATTTAGTTGTCATTTTACAATATTCAAACAAAACAGTCAAATGACTATAAATAAAATGTTATTCACGCTGTTGAATGCGAGTAAACCGTTTATTAACTGGTTTTAATTAATACGGTTAAACAATAAGAATTTTATCTCACTATCTAAGCCCACCAAATGAAACCACATAATCTCTTGCAGATGAGTACATATTATAGCCGACAGGTCTAATCAGTCTCATGATGGACAGAATTGGTTCGAGTCCAAGTGATGATGCCACTATATTTCCACTCTTCCCTTCAACACAGGAAGCGTTTCCATACTCCTGAACTACTCAATTTGAGACCCTGGTTTATTAGAATCCGATACTCTCATTCACACACAGATGGCAACTCCTTAAGGCTGCTGCACTATCGCCAATGGGCAGTTAAATTTCTTTTTGACGGTTTTCAAACCATGCTAGTTGGAAATGGTTAAAAACCAGCATAGTTTAGCACTCATGGTTTTTTAACTATACTAATTGTAAACAGTTTCGAAACCGTAAAGGTAAAAAATGTTCTTTACCGTAAATTTTATGATTAATTGGATGGACAGACAACTGCCAGCTGTTCTGCTATAATTCTAGGGTAAAAGTTATAACAGGGCAGAATAGTGTGAGTCGAGAATAAACCTATATAGCATACTAGCCTATATAGAAATTATCACACCTTATTAATTTCTGCTTAATTTTTATACGTTGTCAATACTATTTTTATTATATTGTTTGACACAATAAGAATGCCATAACCGTATATTAGATAGCTTTTTTGTTGATATCGGGGGCTTCTACC